ATTTTAAATAATACAAAAGGAAAAGATGAAAATATTAAAAAAGTACGAGTAATGGAAACTGGAAAGTGTTTTGATCTGTTTCTTTCTTCTTCTTCTTCTTCATCTTCTTTTCATTGTCAATTTGTATTTAAGTTCTTTGATTTCTTATATCAAACTATGAGAATCCAATTAGCTTTAAAGAATTTTAAGGCTACGAATTACCTTTTACTAATAAGTTGATGGGGTCACCTCAAGACAATCATGAACATTGAGAAGAATATGAGTTACAACATAGCGTGAAAAGTACAAAAGTTGATTTTTTGGGCAAACATGAAGACCATGGTAAAGCATATGGTGATTGTTGTAGAGTCTATAGTGAACGAATAGGCTAAAGAGGTCATTAAAGAAAAGAAATATTGTCAATGGTGGAAAAGTATTGGACAAATATAGTTAACAAATGAAAGATGTAGCAAATCCTGAATAGATTTAATATATATTAACCTAGTGATCGGTTGGAAGGGAACTAATGGATGCATGTTGGAGAGTTTGTGTGCTAGTGTAAGCTAGCGCACAAACTAGAAGGTATATTTATGGGTGCATAAGTTGGAAGGAGGATACACACATGGTAATGTGGGTTGGACTAACCTAGCAAAATTAGAAGGTCAATGGGCATCTCAAAGAAAGGTTCCATCTGATCATTGAAAGTTAAAATTTTCATCTTACGAAAGCCAACAAAATTGCCTCGATGTGGGATACAAATATTTCTCTCAAAAGTTGAAGTATTCAGCTTATTAGATACAATGACTTCCTAAGGTGTAATAGTAAAGGAAAATGGGTTTGTGAATTTGGCGAGTTGTACAATGAGTTAATCAACAAGTTTATTAATAATATGATGAAGAAGTTGATGACTTGATGACAAGTTGGTTGATTACTTACTGATGAGGTGTTGGCTAACTATAGGCCGAGGAAGATGACTATGCCGACTCATTAATGACAAGATGAAAAACATATCAAATGGTGATAATAAACCCATTAAGTGAAGACCACTTTAACTTCCAAAGTTTAGCACTGAGGCTCAATCACAAGGGTTCTAAGGAGTTACATCTAAGAAGTATAAGTTCCATTATAAATGAAATCCATCCCTTTCCTACCACCTTATAAAAATGGCTAAGAATATGTTATTAGGTGGAGAACCTGGTGAAAGTGAGGGAGATGACTATAAGTGCACACATTAAAAGAAAGGGGGGATCTGGCAAGAAAAATTACTCCTTATAGTGTTATGACACAAGGTGCTAAGAAGTCAGTAGAGGTGCAAAGAGATGTCAACATGATGACTTGAAGTTGGTCTCAATAGGACAACATATTGGCATGGTGGCTAGAATTTTAATATGTCAGGATCAAATGTTGAAAGAAAACACAAAATGGGCAAGAAGGTTTGAGATATGCACAAACACGTCATGGAAATGCAACTAGATGTGCATTCACATGGAAACATGCCAAAAGGCATTAAGCACAAATGATTGAGCATGAGTGTGAACAAATCATCTAAGGCAACTCTCTCCAATCTTATTTACCACTAGAGCAACTCCAACCTTTTCACATATATGCCCGTTTCACATTCTATCTCAAACAGTAAAACCACTCATCCACGTGAGTATCCTCATCTCTACAACACTTAACTTAATTGTATGCTTCTCTTTTAATGGCCAACATTATGCACAATAAAGAATTGCAGGTCTCACCACCATCTTATAAGATTTTTCCTTAAATTTGAGGTGGTGCTTTTCTATCAAACAATATGACCAATGCTTTCCTCCATTTCAACCATCCAACTTAAATTCTACTAATAATATCCCCATTTATTTCACCATCACTCTAGACAATAGACTTGAGATATCTAAAACATGTACTCTTATTAATGACTTGATCGCCCAAAATCACAACCCCCTAATTAGATCTTTTACTACTAAAATTACACTCAATATATTCGATTTTAAATCTACTCAAACGAAAATATTTAGGCTCTAAGCTTAACCTCCATAATTTAAGTTTACCTTCAACTCCATCTCTCATCTTATCAACAAGAAGAATATCACCAGCAAAAAGCATACACCACGGTACATCCTCATGTAAATGTATTGTAAGAACATCCATGAGTAAAGCAAAAAGATATGGGCTTAAAGTTGAGCCTTGATGTAATCCAATTGAAATAGGAAAATACTTAGTTCAACCTCATTGTATTTGAACACAAGTAACAACTCATGCATACACATCCTTAATAACTTGAGTATAAGCAAGATTAACCCATTTCTTTTCTAATATATTTCATAGCACTTCTCTTGGAACTTTATCATAAGCCTTTTATAAATGAATAAATATCACATGTAAATCCTCCTTATTCTCCCTATGCTTCTCCGTCAAACCTCTCAATAAGTGTATAGCTTTCATAGTACATGTCACGACCCAATATCTAATGAAAGAGTTCTTTATTTTTTTTATTAGACAAAAACCATAGCTATCTAAAACCATCTTTTGGTAATAAATAGAATAAAAAAATTATATAACATCAAATATAAAAGTATATCTATATCCATTACTCCAAAAATTATATACACTACTTATGAATCATATAATCATGTCATGCCAATCTAAAATCTGAGTACAAAAGAATAACTAAAAAAAAAAAAAAAATGATGGATCCAAATCAATCTCACACTCCTACTTTCTTATCTTGACTTGAAATCATTTAAATCACATATAATGAGCTAAATAGTCCAACAGGTCGCACTAAAATCTTATAATTGAATTCAAAGCACGAAAAAGATGTACTATGCATGTCGTCGATCAACTCATAATATTAGCAGCCATATGATCAAGAATCAATATAGAAATAATAAAACTCATATGTAGTAGCATTAAAATCTGTAAACAGTAAAATAGTATGGTATAGACGCTAGTAAATCAGTACAATTGAGGAATTAGTAAACTGGTATGTGTGTCAAATCAATAAAGTAGCTGTATTAATATTATAAATAAGTAAAGCACATATATAAAATGATAAAAATCAAAGCATCCGTAAAGAACTATCGAACTCAAATCAATATAATAAATTCTTATAACGATGCACACATACTATCCAGTGAGTTTATATCAATGTCATATCAGTATCTTAATTATATGCTTAGTATATTATATGATGAGTATATTGCATGCTCAATATCAATAATCAGTACAGTAAAACAATAATAATAATAGTGAATCAATAATAATATCAATAACAGTATCAATGTTTGTATCGGTACGAGTAAATCCAGTGATAATAACAATAAATCAATGTTATAATAGTAATCCATCCAATAGTCACACTAAATAAGTATGAAATCCTAAATATTACGGTGTTTTTTCAGTATCGTATCAATATCAATAAACTATTAGCTCAGTAAATAGAGTCGTCACTATTTTCTTGTCGGTATAGTTATAACTCTTTATAACTCCCAATTGTTGCTCTGGAATCTTGTGTCGGATAACACCAAATTATAATATTTAAATGAAAGTCTATTGGCCCATAATCATGTATAGATCAATCAGTCTTCAACCAACGGGTCAATCGAACTTGACTTGTCTTTCACACACATTCTAATAAAAGTAATAACTGATAGCTATTAATCACATACTAGTATTCATTCTCAATGCTTATATAAAATACATATTAAGTAAAAATATATTGTTTCAAAATATAACCAAATTGATAATGATTGTGTATATTATTTCAAGACTTTAATCATATTAAAGCACTATTTTTTAGAATCTAGATTATTTTCTATTCAATTAAAAATGCACAAATTTTAAAATACATAGTATAAATTTTTTTAAAAATATTCAAAACGTTCATAATTACAATATCAAAATAATATAAAAAGTTATGCAGTAAAAAGTTATCCACGTTTTTCAATAGCTGAAATAAAAATTTAATCAGAGAAATCACAACAAACATCGAATATTTAAAAATAAAGATAGGAATAATGTGACATATCTCAACTGACTCGACGACAAAAAATAACTCGAAGAGCCTCAAATAAGAGTTTCTCTCTCTATAAAACCTCTTTCTCTCTACTTTAGCAGCTGTGATTGATTAATTGAATGAAATAATGAATTTTAAAATATATCAAAATGAAGATATTAGCATAGTGTTACAACACTCGTTCATTTTTTTCAATATATAGAGATTGAAGCGTTGCCATGTCACTATTTAACGTTTGATATTGTATCAATTTTGAGGCCCTCAGACACGCATTGCTGAGGCACTCAAATAGTAACATTTTTTAAATTTTGTCAAAATTTGTTCCAAACTATTGAGACTAATTCTAAAACATACACAATCATTAATAGGCTTTCAAACACGTGCAATTTGGTGCAAAAAATTCAAAATTCCAAATCTTACCTTATAAATTTTAAATATTTACTTTTTATATTTTTGAGTTGTTACAATATACCTACCTAGCATAAATCTAAATAAACTATGAAAAATATTAGTATTTCATTAAAACCTATGCTAAATAATTATCTCCCAAAATTTTTAAGTACTACACATTAACTTATATCATCTATAATAATTCACATACTCTTGTGTATCATTTTTATTCTTAAAAATAAAAAACAACACGCTCTACTCATCTGACATTTTTAATCTTCCAAATAACATTGAAAAAGTTTCGTAAGCCAAATAATTCCATCATCTTCTAAGCATTTCCACAGCCTAACAACTTTTCGACCCTTCATTTTCTTTAAAACCTCTCTAACGTTGATTGCACTAATACACTGATAAAAACAAAAATCTATATTTTCATTTAAGACGCTAAAGTCACTAAATCAATCTTCTTCTCATAATCTTCATGACATAAAATAAAAAATAACATACATAAAAAAAAAACACTTTAATTTGATCTCATACATAGAACTATGTATGATTGCACAAATCAAATTTAACTTAGGATCAAATCCCATTAACTTGGAACAAGCCATTCTCAAAGCAAATCAATTTCTATAGCAATGAATCAAAATTCAAACAAATTTCAAGCCATTCTGAAAGCAAATCAAGAACCACATTCCACATTCTCATGCTACCTTGTGTTCAACAAATGCTTTCAAAGTCTTAGAATTCTTCTTTTTCACTAACAGAAGAACCAATTCCTTCAAAAAAAATTTCCAATGCCTCAACATTAAATAATGAAGTAGTTACATACAGCGAGGAAGCGTTTCTTTCAGCCCAGCTTTCATTTCCAGCTTTGAGGGATCAGCCAAAACACAGCTACCATTGATGAACAAGCCACCTCTCCCATAGTCCTGTGAAAAATTTTCCTGCAGCGAATTCACAAAGCAAGAACCAACTCTATAGAAGCTACAAAAAATCTTTTGTTGTTGGAACAGATATTTAGGATTTATTTGGGACAGCTTTCTTAATGCTTTCTAAAGCAGTGTTTTGTTTAAAAAAATTTTGAATTAAAATTTTTTGTACTAAAAAACTATTTTAGCAAGCAATGAGAAAGCTGTCCGAAACGAAGCCTTAGCCATTGCATTGGCTGCTTGTTTGAGCAGAATCAGCAGATTGTTGCGATACAGAACAGAGCTTGTCAAAGACATCTATGGCGGTTGGGCGGTCTGCTGGATTTCCTTTGGTACATTGGTAAAAGAGATCTAAGAGTAGTTTCATCTTCTTAGTATCAGTTTCAGAAAGCCCTAAATCGGATTCAGCTGTTGCTTCTTCGGACTTTGCAAGAGCTTCCAATTGTGGTGGCAGTGTCGGCGGCTGTTTCATCTGTAGAAGAACGTATGTAGATGTTATTTATATCAACTCCGTTGAAGAGTGAAAAAAATTTATCCACAGAAATTTGAATATAGAATATAACCGTTATCTCAACCAGTAATAGATAAATGGAAATTCTCAGGGCAAGAATTGACGGAAGATGAAAGGAAAGAGAAGAGATTAGAAAAATGGGAATACAACAGACGCTCGTCACTACACAACTACAAAACGAGTGACTGAGTAACTGGATCCAGTAAATAAGGTTTCTTCTTAAAATTTTGGATTATTATAACTTCAGGACGAGTAAATAAAAACATATGAAGTTATAAGCATAGATCACTTCAATGAAGATTGCTTTGAATTTGTTTGATCAGGGAGTTCCAATGTAGGGCTTGTTGTGCGAATGCATCGGGTTTGTTGTGTGATAGAAAAGTCCGCCTCAAACTTAAGGGAAAATTCTATAAGATGGTACTGAGACCTGCAATGCTTTATGGCGCCGAATGTTGGCCATTAAAAGAGAAGCATAATACTAAGTGTTGCAGAGATGAGTATGCTCAGGTGGATGAGCGGCTTTCCTCTTAGAGATAGGATATGAAATGAGCATATTCGTGAAAAGGTCTAGTGGAAGATAATATTAGAGAGAGTCACCTTAGATGGTTTGGTCACATAAAATGACAGCCTTCCAATGACCCGGTTAGGAAAGTAGAGGTATTAGATTTGACTTATGTTAAGAAAGGTAGAGGAAAACCTGAAAAGACTTGGTTATAGAATATTAGAAATGATCTTTCCCTATTAGATTTAAACAAGAATTTGACTTTTAAAAAGACACAATGGAGAAAAAAGATTCATGTAGCCGACCCCACATAGTGGGACATAGGCTTGATGTTGTTGTTGTTGGTGTAGGGAGTTCCAATGTCAATCACCTCAATGAAGCCACGATATTGTTATAAGCATTTTCATTATCTCCCCCATTAATCTGAATAAACATACAACTCCCTAATGGAAGGCATAAATATATAAAGTTCCAAAAGATCGTGCTACTGAAGTAGAGCATTACCACTGTGAGAAGGGTAAAATCAGCCACAAGCTCAATCTCATATTGATTAGAAATAGAAGAATGAGATGGGTTGGGAAAACGCCATTCTGTCAATATAATAAGGACAGACCTAGAACATGTTCAGGCACTGAGCCAGTAAGTTTAGCTTCAGCTCAGCTTCATCCAAAACACATTACTTAGGTTTTAAGCATAAATAGTTCAATTGACTAACTATATCTGACCAACTTGTCATGTTAACATATATATCTTCCAGATATGACAAGTAAAACAATAAATAAAATGGCATATTAAAAATTATTCAACCCCCCACACCAAATTCTATTTGAAATTCCAATGTTGCCTACTTCTCCAAGGTTAATCCATCCCATTTACAGTTTTAACTCTAGATAAGGGAGATCTACTATAGATTGTAGATGTCATCACAGAGCGCCACAAGTTGCACTTCCAACACAAGAATCAAAATGTTTTAGTTAAAAAAGGGGGAAAAACAAGTTTTTGAACCCCAAAGGATAGTGAAATAAAAAAGGCATTGGATATTTGCAACACTAGGATTGGCCATTACACATCCATGCTCTCTTAGATCATTCTATGTAAAGGTGATCCCTACACATAGCCAACAATGTGAAATGCTTTCAAAGTACCTACAATTTTCCTTTCCAACAAACCCTTCACATTTGTAACAGTATCCCACTCATTCATCACTGTAATACTTATCTTAAATTCACAGGATTTTGATGGTGGTCAACATTCATAAATTTATACGCAACTCCATCTCTGTGAGGTCAGGCATTATCCATCTTCGACCTAGCTGAACCTACTTAGCCTACCCTCTACTCTCCTACAGAGATTCCATCTTTCCAGCATCTTTACAGTTTAATCTACTACAGAGCTCCCTCCCTTCCAGATTTCAACTCCTCCAATTTCTGCTCATCTCCTGTTTCTCAACTCCCAGCATTATGCCTCCAAGCCTAAGAGCATCAAATGCTGCAATCACTTACGTATTCCTCAAAAATGACCTACCATCCCTATTAGCCCAAAAATAGATGCAAATAAGCTAAAATTTTGTATCTCCATCAGCTTCTTTACTGTTTAGTCTCCTACACAGCTTCCTCCCTTCAGCTTTCAACAACTCCAATTTCTATTCAACTAGTTCATATCCTCTTTCTAAACTCCCAGTGTTATGCCTCACAGCCTAAAGCCTCAAATGCCGCAATAACTTACCCATTTCTCAAAAATGACCTACCATCCCTAAAATATGTATCCCCATCAGTGTCTAACTCTGATCAGATCAGACCTAATTTCCAATTTTAGGCACTAATTTAATTTGCTCAGTTCCTTTTACCCTAGGAACTGATAACCTAATTTTACTAATGCCTAAACAAATAACTTAACCCTTACCAAAATTAAGTAGACAAATTTAATTCAACCAGCTAAAGATTTCACGCTCAAAAAAGAAACAAGGCCCAAAACTTCTGACATATTTGCACTAGCTTATGCAGCTAAGATCCAGTTCCCGGTTTCAGTTCAGGAATCAAATGGTTTTCCCTCTGTTGCAAATATCATAGAAACTCATCAACATCATTTGACTATTCCAATTTGGGATCAACTTTATGAATCCTTATGTTTTGTTCACTCTTATTGAGTGTTGCATATGTTAACCCTATTTTATGCAAATTTTTTGGAACAAATCTAACAAGTTACCTTAAGTCTTCCTTTTTCTTTGCTAATCCTCCGACATTACTTTTATATGCTCTAGTGATTGAATTTTTTAACCTTTGTTGCACATTTCCAAACCAATATATCTATTTTTCACTACCTTCTCTTTAATGGATGCTATTCCCACCATCCCTCTAATATAATCCTTCCTCAATTTATTCTTTCTACTTCTTCAAGAATTTAATGGATACTCCCACCACCACCCCTCTAATTTATCCTTCCTCAATTTAATCTTCTAATGAGACAGCTAGAATAAAACATATAATGTCCAACAATGTGACAGATTCAACAGTTGGAAGCAGTTAATAGTAAGGTTAACACAGAAAAGGAGGATCTCTACACACAATAATCAAGAGTAGGAAATATTATAATGAAAAACAAAAATATATGTTGTTTTTAAAATAAAAAATATGCAAAGAAAACTAAAAAAGGCATTGACTATCCAAGTATAATTTCATACAAATTACAACCTGAAGAAATTAAAAAATTAGATCAACAAGATGGTTCATAAAGTTAAACAATTTTGACTGTGGCATACATTTAGCAGATCATAGATTTCTGTTTCAGATTTTCCCGCATATGGTATTTGCAGAGTTAGCAGCTCAAATAAAACGCACCCATATGACCATATATCCACCTCCTGCAAAAATTAAGAAAAGGAAATTAGAGTGGGATGCTATCATAACTTCATGCAAAAACCAAAAAAATAACTTAAAATAACAAAAAAGGTCTAAAAATATCTTGCTTACAACTGTGAGTATACTTTATTGAAATGAATGAACAATTTTGCTTTTGAAATAGTTTGTCAATTAATTAAACATAAAACAGTTAAAGCTTCACTATTTTACCCAGATAAACATAGCATGATGGCCTCAGGCATGTAAACAATGTTCCAGACATTGATTGCCAAACTATTTCCGTATCCAAACAAAGCTTCCACCATTGATTGCCAAACTATTTCAAAAGAAAAACGAATTCCCATGCTATAAATCAACAAAATTTTATACTAAAATAAACAATGATACAGTCCTTGATTAATACAAAGATTTTAGCAAAGAAAATACACGCAAATATCTAAGGTGTTTGAAAAGTGAGCTCAGTTACTCGAGAGCTCATTAACAGCACATCTTTTTGGTGCAAGGCTGCAAGCACACAGTAAATTTGACTGAAGCACTTCACAGAGAACCTCTTTAAAGTGCAAACAATATGAAACAAACCAAACATCCACAAAAACAGTTTAGAATGAAATTAACATATAAAAGATTAGAGAAAGGAGAAAGTCCTCAAACACAATTAATAGTATTAGAGTTATGTTTCCAAAAAGAAAATAAAAAACCACAGCAAAGATATAGCCAGTGCTGTTAAACATGCAGTGAAACGGTGATTGTGCAAACCAGAGCTTGCGTGCTCCTCATGCAACTGGAGTGGCAAAAGAAGGTGAACCATCTTCACGAATTGACCCCACACCTTACTCTCCTAGTTTGGTTCGATTATTCGAGCCTTCGATCATAAATTGTTCTACATTAGACAATAGCTTGGTAGGAAAAACCCTCGAGGTTCAATTTATTCATTTCATTTCGAGTAAAGAGTAAAGAGGCTCTAAAGATGACAAAGAATATGAATGCTTTATAGAAAAGGATGAATATAGTAAGATAAATTAAGAGCTGAAAAATAATTGCTATTTTCAACAAGGCCAAAGCCTTACCAAGCCATATGGGTTTCTTTGATGCATAGCTTGTAAAACTTCTGGTGCCATCCAACGAGGAGTCCCAACACAGACTTCAGGAGGGTGCACACCAATGTGAGCAATACAACATGTATGCATGGAAGAATGTAAAGGAACAGATCTGTCAAAGTCAGTAAGCTTGACAGTTGGTGAACCATCACTTTTCTTGCAGTCCAAGTCAATCAAAATGTTCTCACTTTTTATATCTCGATGAATGATATACTTTGAATGCAACTCAACCAATGCGCTGGCAACATCTCTTGCAATAAACAGAGCTATGTCAAGAGGAACATGCTTCTCACCACTCTCTAATAACCTATCCAAATAACACTGAAATGCATGGAAATATCGAGTTATTAAGACAAAGTACACAAATGAGAAAGGATAAAGTAATAAAAGCAGAAACTACCTTCATAGACCCCCCTTTCACATACTCCATTACTATTATGAACTGCAAGATCCTGCTTTCTTTGTGTCCATCTGCAACAGGAACCCATTTGGAAGAAATCTGGTGGCCATAAATTTCAACAATACAGCTGTGTTTCCTCACAGCACCTAACATTCTTAGTTCTGCAAGAAATGCATATTCAAGCTTTTTAATTTCATCTTGTGATGCTTCATCAGCTTCCAAACTGCGTATCTAAACCAATTCAAAAAAAAAAAAAAAGAAAATCATCAATTCAATTGCCAAATTAGAGCAAAATTAAAAAAAAATGAAAAACATGAGTAATGAGTGTTATCTATAACAGATATATCACATTCTTTCAATAAAAAAGGAAAAGTAGACTAGTTTCATCCACAATATCTCAAAGTATAACTTAAGGATTGGCAATTGCATTTCTACATTGAAAGAGTACTGCTAGCACAGAAAATCTTATCCTCATCATCTACTAAATTTGACATCAATCACATAGAAAAAAATTTAACTGACGAATTCTTTCTTATAATAGAAACTTTACCTTGACAGCTGCATCCACGCTACCAAATTTGCCATGAACAACAGTCCGAGTTTGTATTTTTGCTACTCCATTACACAATGAGGGGGAAGGGAATGAACATCCAAAGATGGGAGAATTTTCATATGTTAGAGGAGCATTTAGTCGACTAAGAGGTATATACCTGAAAAAAAGAAGCAATCCATCAGCAAACTAAAAGGACAATGCCCTCATGTCCCACATGCATCTGCACCCAAAAGCTTGTGCAGATTCACAGATTATCAAGCTATCAAAAATATCTCGAAAAGAAGAACAAATCTCAGACCTAAATTCTATTTCTACCTAGCGTTTCTTGTTAACCATAAATTAATTGTGAGAATACGCAAAAACTGCAGATAACTTCAAAACATAAGAGGTAATTGCCTCATACTCCAGCAAAATCAATATGAATGGAGCAAAAAATTTATCTTGGCCTTATGATCTCCAAAGCACTCCAACCAAAGGTAAATTATAATACCAAAAATAATAAAAGAAGCACAAACTGACAGAAATCCCGTACTTGTTGAAATGCCCTTGAAAAGAAAATTTTTAAAACAAAATCTAATTCGCTTATGGATACATTTGGTAAGTGAAAGAATAACAGCTACAGGTCATTCACATAACCACTAATATCTAACCATAATTCACAAGCAACCCTAAAGTGAATGTCAAGTCCATTATCATCATCAAAGTTGACCCATATCAATCATTCAACACCGTAAAAGATGATTGTCCATGCAATTATTATTCACATGGACAGCAACCGTCGGTAAAATTATTGTTCACCCTGGATAATAACCAAATGGGGGTCTATTTCATGGCATGATGTTGTGGAGCGGGTAGTTTTTTGGGATAGCCGAAATGAAAGTTTTCTCCAAAAATTGGTCAATAGTGGATGCATTCATAAGGTGCGAGGATTCCACATAATATAACATTTCATAGTCCTATCACTTGTCATCCATCAAACCCATGAGCTTAGGTGACTCATGTGTGAATCAACAACGTTTAGATGATACCAAACCTTGTGTGGTGTCATCTATTAGGCATGTTAAGTATTTTCTTTCAAGTCAATCATTTAATAGTAACTTAGTGATGATTGTGATATCCGCTAGGTTAGCCTGGAGCTTTATCATCTATTAACCCCAAGCTTGTAACTTTGAATTTACAAGAATGGCTCCAATAAATATAACATTAAAAAGAGGCTACTAGAAGCATTGTCAGATGGCTCCAATAAATATAAATTTAAAAAGAGGTTACTAGAAGCATTGTCAGATGTGTAAAAATGTGAGCTGAATATTGATGGTTATCAATGTAAGTTTAGTCTCGCAGCCCAACCAAATAACAAATAGTCTAATTCATAAAACTAGTTCAACAGCACTTTAATAAAGGTTGTAGTGGTGGATTTTTCATTCACTTTGGATGTGCTAACCTATGTGGTTCTCCTCTTCCCTCTCAAATATCTCCAATGTTCTCTTGCCTTGCCATCACAGAACGCTTGAGATAGAGAGCTATATTGGTTTCTAATTTAATACTTAAAATTACTATTATTATTTAATTTCTTTTTTATTACTTTCTTTTTAGTAGACTTTGCTAGGGCTTCAAGACATGTAAGGCATGCTGAGGGCCTTGACACACATCAAAGATGGCTTCAAGTCAGTGAGGGCTTCAACACCAAACTTCGATAAGGGCTTCCACTTCTAGAAATGATGACAGCAGCAGGCAACAGTGGCAAGTAAAGGCAATGACAATGACTCCATGTGACATCTTTACATCTAAGTGAAGTCTTCAACGACACTCTTCTTTGCATAGGCAATCTCCAAAAAATGCTCCCCTTAGCATCATGCACTATGATGCACGGACACGGACACGGCGACACGACACGGACACGGGACACGGCTTTTTTTAAAAATATAGGACACGGGTACGGCGCGGACACGGCAATACATTTTTTTATATAGTGTATATATATTAATGTAATATCATATTAAAAATGACAAACAATAATAAATGAATGACATGATAACTTGTCTAGCTTATAATATAAAATATTTAGTACAAAATATCTAGTATAACCACAAAAATATAAGCAAATAATCACTTACTACAACATCAAGCATTCAAGCTTCAACTACTAGGATTAGCTTTAGAGGTTTGTTTTTGGACTTCAATATCATCATCATTGAATATTACTACTTTCAATTCTGGTTCAATAAGATAAAGATTTGTAATTGTGCAAAAAGAGAGCAGATGAAAATACCTTCACTGCCAAAGAGAAATGAAAATGAGAATATTCGATGAATGGGTATTAAATGCAGACGTTGATTTGGTGTTGTGGATATGAAATAAGAAATTTAGTTTAAATCTCGCCAAATATAAGAAATTATATTTTTAAAAATTATAAAATATTTAAGGATACGCGTGTCGGACACGCGTGTCCAATTTGTTTTTAATATTTTTTTAATCGGACACATTTTCGGCGTGTCTGACACGTGTCGGAGGAGTGTCGGACGAGTGTCGTGTCGGACACGGTGTCGGACACTGCACGCCTCTTTGAGGAGAAGTGTCGGTACACCTTTGCAACTAGAACCACATGAAAGAGACGAGGCAATCCTAAATATCAACATGTAACAATAAATTCACCATTTTATTTATAAATTTAATTATTTTTATTACCATGATAGTTTATTTTTAAATCTAATTATCTTTACATCCAAGTGAAGTTTTCAACAACAATCCATTTTGCAGAGGCAATCTCCGACAAATGCTCCCCTTAGCATCATGTGACACTTTTGCAACTAGAACCATATGAAGAGGACAAGGCCATTTTAGCTTATAATGATGATAATGATTCATATATATATATATATATATATACACACACACAACAAAATCTGTAATTTTTTGAATTTTAATAGTTGAACATTGAGCCTAAATATCAACATGTAACCATATAAATTCAAATTTTTATTTATAAATTTAATTATTTTATTACCATGATAGTTTACTTTTAAATCTAATTATCTTTCATAAATGTTCATATAAATTTTGCTTCATCTTTATCCATATTTTTTAATAATTTGAACTATGTTTAAAATAGTGCACATTGTGCCATGCATTATGATGAGAGAGTTTATTTTTCAATCTAAATATCTTTCATAAATGTTTTCCAAGTTTGTTTTGATGTACCATGCATATGATGAGGATGTCTGTGCAAAAGTGATGTGCTCTCTAAAATTTTGATGCCATTGATTACTTTTGATTTACTACTTAGTAATGCAACAGAAAAATGATACAATTTGTGTTTGATGATGAAGAATGGAAGGAAATGTTAAACATCTTTTTAAGGTGTTCCTAGCCTTGTTTTTATCCAATGGTGGATTTGGAAGGTTGCTTTTATGTTTTTCTCGTGCTTAAATACCTTCCTTTTGAGGGGATTTGCAACTATGCTTCCTTCATATTTCTGATTTTGTATCATAGTTGGGATTCGACTGCTCTATTTCCTCTCTATTCACACTATAGCTGGGTTCGATGTTTCACATTGTAAATCGTTTCACTGTATTGGGGAAGCTTTGCTGCTATTTCATGTGTTGCTTCATTTGTTGATGCCCTGCATCAACTTGTTGCAATAGCTGCATTGTTTTTATATTTAGTTTCTTATCCGACTATGGCAGAACTTTGCACAGTTGCAGATACAAAAAAGTTATTATTTTTTGGTTGGCTGAAATCAAGAATTATTGTTTTGGCCAAATTTTGGGATTCCAAAAATCAATTAATTGTGGATCCAATTATGATTATAAATAGCATGTAAAACATTCAATTGTTCTAACAACCTTGTGTGTTATTAGATGTGAATTCTAGTAGTGTGGTGCAAATGTTGACAACTTTTATAGGGAGCTTTCTACTTCTAACAGCATGAGACTGATCTTATTAGGTGGCTCCCATATTTATTCTTTTTTTAGTCTACATACTTCAGAATTGATTTTCGCAAGTGATCGGGATTTGTTCAAGTCTACTACAATATGATTTTCCTTCTTGCGGTCTGAATCCTAATCACTGTTAAGATCTGTTTCTCAAATATTTTATAACTTTTCAGCTTTGTCCTACCTTTAAATTATCATTGGGTGAGTTTTATTTGTTTTCTCTTTTGCATCAAGAGGCAAAATCTTTGCCAAATGAAAAGTTGGTGAATTGTGAATTTCACTCTTTTCTTCCTATTTTTTGTGCATCTCATCCTAAACTTGAATTAGAGAAGACCAAGCCCTAAGACACCATCCATAAATTAATATACCAGAAATTGCTGTTTTGGAATTTAGAAAAAACAATCAAAGTCAGCAGACCAGGACTAATAAAATCCTGTTTATGCTACTGTTTATAGTGGCTAAATTCAATATCCAGATACTTCAATAGAAAGAAGCTTTAAAGTCAAGTTGATGAACCGGGTACCCTGACATATTGGCCAATTATCATAAAGAGCTTAAGTCAAGAGAATCAACAAACCCATGAATAGATGATAAAGAGCTTACCTACAATAAAACTCAGGATCATTTTCATCTCGTATGTCTGCAGGATAGCAAGCATCAACAATCATTCGCCTCCAAGAATTGCCTCTTTTGACCCTGACAACATTCCAAGCATGTGGCATAAAATCAAAGTATCCTCTAACAAGCTCGCAAGGAACTGGTGGCTCGGATCGATCACATAAATACTGCAACATTGATAATCAAAACTATGTTAGAACTCCAAGCTTTTCTCTCTTCATTTAAGATATTGCTCATCTATGGGATTAAGTAAATGCTTCCGGGCATTAAGTGGGGAATATTTTGAGTGTATAAGTATTTCTTAAGGAAGTTGGGATTAAAGTGTGGTTCAGGTTTACAACGCCATGACAATTGAAATATAAAAAAAAAAAAGAGAAAATGGTCCCTTGTCTCTTTATGAAAGATCAAAATAATCCCTAATTATATTAAATGATCATTTTGGTCTCTCAACTCCTTAAAGAGGTTCCAAAATAGCCCCATCATGTGACTATTTTAATTTCTTTTTAAAGACTTAAGAGATCAAAATGATTTTTTAATATAGTTGGGGACCATTTTGGTCTTTCATAAAGAGAAAAAAGACTATTTTGATCCTCTTCTCAAAATTAAAAAAAAAACAATAGAAAATTGACCAACCTTCATGAGCACAGCTCTATGCCTACAAACACCAAAGCGCATTGCACCTAAGGGAACTACACTAGAATTGCGAGTTTTCTTAATCACTCGTAAAGAATTTTCACATAATTCATTGAAATCAAATCCACTAACAGTTCCTTCAGCCTTTTTAGGTACTTCGCTATCATCATAAAGGCTTCCAGTTGAGCAAGTACAGATAAAAGGTTGCAGCTTATCCGACCCAATTATACTTTTTCGCAACCTCAAAACTGAAGTACTTCGGTCACTTCCCCCAAAACAATCAGACACGAATAGAGCAAGAATTGATACTACAGGCAAGTCCTCAACCACTCCATCTTTCACAGGAGCCAAATTACATCTTTGAAAGTTGGACAAAAGTAATCGTGCAGACAAAGCAATTGCATCCAACTCTTCATCCTTCTCTCTGATGAACAAAAAACAAATCTGAAGCTGATTACATTCATGCCAAAGGTTGATACTCAACCTAAACAAATTACATCAAATACTTCAGTGAGAAGTATGCACTAACAAACCTGTCGAGAAGAATAACTTCCCGTGAATCAATGCAAACACACTGTTCATATTCCTGCAATGACTTGAAAGGCCGATCTCTCCCTGCATCATAGAAGCCATCTGGGAGGTGGTCCTCAATGCTACAGAAGGACTCCACACAATACTTGTTGGCTATGTATGAACAGTCAACAACAGGCTTACGAAACTTGCTTGGCTTAGGGTTGTCGAGATCCTTATCAGAATGCCTTTTTGATTTCGTGGTAAGATTAGATGCTTCAGAAAAAGAGTATTTATCAATAGAATTCAGCTCATCAACAGAACAATGAGGATAAGGAGTATTTATTTCCTCATTTTCACAATCATAGCCCTTGTTTGAGATAGCAGAATTAGTAAAATGCGAACAATCATCCCCTTCTGAAATTTCTGATATGTTAAACCTGGTATTATTTTCATTTTCAGAACAGCAAAATTGAGGCAAAACAGAATGTTCCCTAACAAGATCACATCTGCCACTTTCAGTGTCTTCTACTGTTATCTTTTTCAATGAAGATTTTGACTTTGCAGAACTATCTAATAATTTTACTTCATCGTCATCAACTTGAATCTCAGAATTACTATCCTCTACCACATATGATCTGCAGCAATTACTTTCTTCACCCATGATTACAGACATATCATCAGTATGATCCGAAACTCTGCACTTCCTACTATAGTTCAAGCGTTCTTGGCGAGCCCTCTGTTGGAGATCATCCCGTCGTTTCCACCCCTTCTTCCTTTTCTGTGATACCAGGCATCTACAACTGGAATGAAGCTCCGTACACAAAGCTGAAGACATGCCATGGCAACCTGATACAGAAAGGAGAGTTAGATCACTAAACTTGTATGAACTGAATCTTACAAAAAGAAGGAAAGTAATTCCTGATATTACCATTGCATAATTGACACATTTGTACCATATGCACACCAACATCACTGAGACCCGGTTCAACTGATGATCCACAGGCCTCACCCTTAGAAATATCTTCTCCATTTCCTTCAAGATTGCAGTTAATCCATGATGGGATTTGGCAATGATAGGGAAGCTTGTTGTACTTAAAACAGCAAAATAGTTAAGCACTGAAAAGTGTTAGACAGATAGAAGTACATAGAATGCACAATACAAACATAAACCGCATTTACAACAATGTAATTAGGGTGCAATAAAAGTCAGAATATGGTATGGGACAATTTCCTCTAAAGGAAAAAAAAGTGAACCTCAGTTGATTTATGCAACAGTTTTCTCTTAATTCATTATATCCAAATTTGAAGAAATGTAACTATTGAAATCAAGTGCAAAACAAATAAATTCTTAATGTAACAGAAAAATACCCATATGGTATGCCAAACTGCCGCCAAATGCAAACAACATGGGAATTTATGACTCCAACAAACAGGAAATATAGTAGAGAAAACTGCACATTGTGCTTTCAAGTTCTTTAAAAAAAACTACGAAGCAACTCAGCAAATTATGGTCATGCATCAATTTTCACAGCAACATCTAAAAAATAAGAATAAAAGGTTGGAATCCAGATAGGAAGTAACATGAGATACCTGAAGATTTAAATATTGGAGAGCATCCATGGAACTAAACTTAAGGGATGCCAATGAAGTCAGCCTGTTATTAGATAAATCTAATTTTTCCAGGCTCCGTAAAGATGAGATTCCAAGAGGTAGATCCACTAATTTATTATTAGCAACTCTTAATGATTTAAGAGAAACTAGGCCAGCTAAATCATCAGGTAAGTTCTTTAACTTGTTGAAAGAAAGATCAAGCTCCTCAAGTTTTTTAAGGTGGCCAATCTCTGGAGGCAGGTATCTGCAAATAGAAAAGGACGCAATATCACAAAAAAAATCTAGCATTTCTACGACTAATCTATAAGAAACCAACTGAAAATAACATTTAAAGGTACTTAAACTTGATAAAAATAAGTTTATAATATATGTTGCATGGCATGCTCATAGTTTAGGACACCAATTAATACTGTTAAGTACATATTTCCTTTTTCATAATAAAACTTATTTCATGAAAATATGATAAATTAAATTAATGATACCATATTGTTTGCATTTTGTAATTTTAGTATATTAAGTACATAAAAATAAAAACATAATCATTAAAATTGTGATCGTGTCCATAAAGTTATCAAATATCTTAAAATTTCTTTTTTTAACTTCAAAACTAAGAACAAAAAATGTATTTTTGAATATAATATTTTAAAATTGTAATTTTAATAATTAATAAAATGGCAGAAACGGAACTGAAACCGAAAACCTAAACCGTCGAAGCCGCCCACCAAGACCACCGAAACTGAAACTTTCACCATGGAAGGGAGACAGAAATTGAAAACCTTAGTATATTCTATTTTCTTGCATCATCAATCACTTGGCATTCATAATCGCAATAAAATAAAATAAACTAAAAGAGCTTCAAGAGTGTCGAGTGGAAAACGTAGATGGCAACAATGCCTGAATACAGGTGGAATTTATTAACCCTGTCCTTCAATTATTATTCAGCATATCCCCTTCCCGTGGGTACTAGAATCCAAAAATAATAATTTCGTGAACAAAGTAACCCAAGGATAAAGAAGTACCTAATTGAAAAATGACAGATGGAAAGCTTGGTGAGGCATTTGAGACAAGAGATGTCCCCCAATATAGAGAAAGCCGTCAGCTTCGGGGGAACCCTACAGAGTTCAAGATCCCTCAAAGACTTCAGCTTTTGCAACGAAATGCCAGATAAGCCTGGCAAAGTGACCTTCACATGCAGACTTTCGAGCTGCTTAAGATCGCCAATCTCCGGTGGCAAAATCTCAATCTCATTAGCGAAGAACTTAAGCGTCTTCAGCCTCCCCAGTCCTCCAATTGACCTCGGAATTAAGTGAAATGTATTGTGGTAGAAGTATAGCCCCTGGGTCGAAGAAGGCGGCGGCAGTCTCTCAAAAGGAGAGAGGTCCCACGAATTACCGGAAACATCGACCACCTTCTCTTCACCAGATGGGGAGGAACATGCCTCTTCTCCCCCGTTCAGCCGCTCCTCATCGTTGGCGTCGTTGGAGTCGATAGCGACAAGCTCTAAGCGCCCCGAAGACTCCATTCCAGTTGAAGAAGCTCAAAATCATACAAACAGAACGCCGAGACGGGGCTGGGGGTCACTGATTAGCGCGAGTTCAGCGACTAGGGTTTCGTAGGAGCAAATCGAGCAACTACAGAAGCTGCGAAACCCTAGAAAAACGCGAAATAAAAGGAGAGACGAGATTTTGCAGAAAAAAGTACGATATATTAGTACAACGGTGGGCGCTAGCAGATAATTTAGCGAAATTGAAGGGCGAATTTGCCACTAAGAAATTAGAGAAATTACGAGTTCGGGATTTGGCCGTTGATGGCTGGTTTTCTAACATTTCTTTCTTCTTCTATATTTTTAGTTGGCGAAGGGTATTTTGTAGTTTCGATGAAAAGAACGGTTATTTATGAGTCGTAAATAATAAACTGATTGCAGAGACTTTTACTTTAAGAAACACAGAAATTTGAAATATTTTCCCATAAAATTTGAGAAAATAAAATTTATTATAATATAAATTAAATTCTATCATATTTATTTAAGTTTGATGATTATTACGTTATATATTATATATATATATATATATATACTTTATTTATTTATTTTAAATTAGATGTACACTATATTCATATTGATGTATCATAATTTCATAAGCTATTAAAATATAGTTAAAAAAGCTCTTTTGATTGGAACATATGACCATATATAGCTCGTAATATATATAATTTGTAAAAAAAAAACTAGTTGTTTCTTTAATTAGAGAAATATACTGAAAATATTTTTCATATTAAATTTATTGTAATCCCAAATTGAAGTTGAAGCCCTCTAAAACTAATTCGAATTGGATAGAATTCAAACGTGTTTGCATTCAAACTGATATGAACCTAATTTGAACACAGGTGATAATTCATTCTTCTTTATTATATGTTTATCATTGTTCGAATTCATGGAAGCAAGAAAACAAGATGATAAGCGATTAGGTAATGTTGATATTGGCAAAGTTGATCCAACTCAACAATGATAATTGACCTCGACAACTTTAGTAATGATGTATCTTGCTAGTTGACTCTTAGGGTCGTCGTCCTTGGTGATTATAGCAATAGCACCTCGTTCTCCCCCTCTCACCTGAAATTAGGCAATCTATGGGAGCAAATTGCAAATCAATCTGCTGCAAAAATGGGATTGTGATGATGGTTAATTAGAGCATTCGTAAACAGGGCAGCATGTATTAATTAACTAATGACGTGCGAAGAAAAAAAGGAGTTTGTGTAGAGAGCAATAACCCCTGAAGTTTTGAATGTTATACAAAGGACGGGGTTTGAACAAAAATGCAAGTTTGAATGGCAAATTGGGAATTTGAACAATTAATTTAATGTAGAAGTACTAGTTCTTGCAGTGATGTGAACAAAGATATTCAAATTCAATTCAAGTTTGGTATAAACTTAGGTATAAACTAGTTTAAAACTATTTTGGGGGCTTCAACTTTAATAAGCTATTCGTAAATACAATAGATTATCCGTCATGGAACACAATTTCATCTAAAATAAGCTTTCATGTATATTTTTTCAAATAAATATATAGTAGGTATATTTTACGAATTATATGTATTATGAGGCACATGAAGTCAAATTTTTCTTTTTTATTTTGCTAAAAAAATTTCCAACCTTTGATTTAACTAATTTAATTATACATTCATCAAGTACATGTTGATACAACAATAACATCAAGCCCTTGTCCCACTACGTGGGGTCGGCTACATTAATCCTTTTTCGCCATTGTGTCCGATTAAAAGTCAATTTATCATTTAAATCTAATAAAGAAATATACTTTCTAATATTTTTTAACCAAGTCTTTTTAGGTCTACCTCTACCTTTCTTAACATAAGTCAAATCTAATATCTCAACTTTCCTAACTGGGTCACTAGAAGGCCTCTATTTAATGTGACCAAACCATCTAAGGTGACTCTCTCTAATCTTATCTTCCAGTGGAGCTACTCCAACATTTTCATGTATATGCTCATTTCGTATCCTATCTCTAAAGGTCATATCACAATCCCAAGGATCTAACTTGGAAGAATTATTCATTTAATCATTTAAACAATCAATATACCAGAGTTATCTATGTCATCCATCTATAAATAACAATACAACAATTCAATAATTTAGAACATCAATGTACACATTTATATTCATTCCCAAAAGTCATTTATATTACTCAGGATCTTCATAATTATCATGTATCCATCCTGTCCTGAATACAAAAAAATCACTATAACAAAGAAAACAGAACCTGAAGAACCCTGATCAATCTCACAATCCTGCTCCCTTGCCCTGACCTGAAATCATTAACCACGTATAATGAGCTTAAAAAGCCCAGCAGGTTACCAACCTACAACTGAAATCAAAACACGATACAGAAGCAATATACATGTCAATCAGTCAAATCATAACAATAACTTATACATGATCATTGAGTCAATGCAGAAACAGAAATCAGTGTAGTAACAGTAATATCCACAATCGACAGTAGTAAATTCTGTAAACAGTATAAAAGTCTATAAAGCAATAAACCAGTATGTATGCAGATCTCTATAGTAATTGTCGTATCTATAGCCTCAATCAAATCATTAAAGAAAGCATCATATCCATAATATCAGTACAATATAAAATCGTATACAGCTTCAAATTAATACATCGATAATGGCTATTAAAATCAAATCAATGCAGTAAAAATTATATCGAAATGTATACATGCTATCGAGTTATTCTATATCACATGCTCAGTATATTATATGCATAAGATCAGTACCATAAAGCAGTAGTATCAAATAGTATCAATATCTGTATCAGTATCAATAATAATCTGGTAATAAAAATAGTAATGCAATAATAGTGAAATTGTGCAGTAACAGTAAATTCGTACACTAACGATAAATCCAGGTATAACAATAAAACCATACAGTAACGATAAATTTGGGCAGAATAATAAAACCGTACAGTAATGATAAATATGTACAATAATAAGAACAATGCTTCAAAACATATATTTCAGTACAGTAGTCATACTAAACAAGTAGAAGCGCTGGCTATTATGATATTTTTCAGTCTTATATTAGTATCAGTATTAATATCAGTATCATTATTCATTGGCTCAGCAAATAGAGTCATCACTCTTTGCCAATCGTCACAGTAATCATCTTCTTATAACTCCCAATCAATATCACGTGAATCAGTAGAGGATAACACCAAATCATATTTAAATAAAAGCTCATCGGTCCACCATCTTGTATAGCTCAATCAGTCTTCAATCAACAGTTCAACCAGTCTTTACTTATCTTTTACACACACAACCATATCATAGTAATATAACAGTACTTTCAATCATGTAACCACATTCATTTTCATCTCATCAATGCATTGTATCAAACAGACATGATTTAACTTAATTTAGAAAAATCCTTAAAATATCGTACAATAGATAGAAGTCATTGTAATTCAAAAATCATCCAGTGAAAAATCACAAATAAATACTCAAAATGCTCGTAATCACATTCTCTATAACATACAAAAAAGTTATGTAGTGAAAGTTTTGTCAATACAAAGATAGACACGTTTTTTGGTAATGAAAACACAAATCTGAGCAGAAAAATATCAAAACACAAAATCTTCAAAATAAAAAATAGGATCTGAATTCCTTACTGTGAGATGAGCAATTATTCCAACTGTGTCGACGAACGAAAATCGCTCCGCGGCCTTCAAAACTAAGCTTTTTTTTCTTTTCTTCCTCTTTCTTTCTCTCTCCTCTTTCTCTCTCTTCAAAACGTGTCAAACAGTCCAATATATAGAGAAGAGATATTTTAAATCGTACGGATGATATTTTTTCATTTATATTGGGACGAACGCCTATGGACTAAATTCAAACCACATTCATACGGATGATAATTAATTTCGTATCGGGACGATCAGCTCTGTTCAAGATTCGTTCAGTTCGTACAGACGATTTGTACAAATGAAATGAAAATTTTTAACTATTAGTCCCATACTAAATTAGTTCGTACTGGACAAACCTGCACAAAAAATTTTGAAATTTAAAGGTTCTCACAATCTTCCTACCTTAAGAAAAATGTTATCCCTGACATTTTCCTTAAGGACTGGAACATAAAATTGATATAAAAACAAATCCGTCCATTCAAAACTTAAATAAAATCAAATTAAAACCAAAACTCGTCAAAATCAGACAGTTATGTAGTTCATTATATCACATGTCATTCAACTATATATGAAATGTCATGTCATTCAATCATTCAAACAAATATTTCTTACCAGTGGAATACTAGTGGAGCTTTCAGGTCATTGTTGATCTTCTTGATACTGTAAGTTGTATAGACGTGGCATCTCTGGAGTAGGTGCAATAGGTCATGGCACAACGATCTCCCTCTGACTATCACTAACAACTCTATCATTCGTCCTATTCATTGATCTTTCATTGTATGCTCTTGACCCGATACTTCTCTGTCCTACAGTATGTCTAGATTGTCCTACATCAGAATCAGCTCTTTCTCTAAATCCCCTCTGAGGACAATCTGCAACCCTATGTCCTTGCTGTCCCAAGCAAAAATATTGCTCCGTCAATAAATAACACTGACCTGCATGTTGTCGACCACAATGAATGCAGTCGCTGTAGTTGCGAGAAGATGCTACTAATGTAAATCCCCTCGAATCATTATACTTACTTTTTCTTATCACTATCTCTCTCTCTCTCTACATGGTTCATCTCTGCTCTTCTACTGCTGACATCATACCTTGATGATGGCGTTGTCAAATAAATCTCTATCAGTCTGGCCCTCTCTACCAACTCATAAAACTCATGAATCTGTAATGGTACTAGCGGATGTCTTAACTCCCTATTCAATCCTTGCAAGAATCTATAGCATTTTTCTTCAACAGTGGGGATCAAATGAGAAGCTTATCTAGCAAGAGCAGTAAACTCGGTCTCATACTGCATCATTATCTTGTGTCATTGCTCCAACTTAATGAAAGCTTCTTGCATTTATCATCGGGTTGACGGAGGTACAAACCACATCCTGAATATTATAGTGAACTCGTCCAAAGTGATCTTAGCAATTGTCTTCCCTTGAAATTTCTCTCTCTATTGTCCAGTCCACCATCTCTCTGCTTTTCCTTCAAAGAGGAACACAGCCAAGGGCACCTTC